CGGTGTATAAAATATTCTTAAGAAAATATTAGATTGTGTCGAGATCTTTTATTTGAGCGCAAAGTGAAGGTTCTATGATAGGAATGACGGGTCCACAAAGTCCCTGCTATAGAGGCCATTTGGCTGGGAAAGTATTTTCTCCATCATTTTTTTCCCGGCACAGCTAGCGACCTGGAGCTTTCGCTATTGAAATCAGCGCCTAAAACTGGTGTTGAGTAATTAAAAATGAAATGGAAAAGTAAATAGAGGTGGCATTTTCGCTATGAATGCACATTTCTCTGTTCTATTTTCCATTTTTTTCTGCTTTTTAGTTCTCTTTGTGTGTGTGTGTGTGTTTATGATAAGCATTCTTTTTCTCTTGACTGTACAAGTAAGAGTCATACAATCTAAAAGATTTCTCTATATGTATGTTTTTTCCGTCCGCACGTCACGTACTTAGGAAAAAAATGCCATAAGGAAAGAAACAACACTTTATTTACAATGATACTCAAGTCTACTATCGAACAACTGACGTGCGGACGGAAAAACCATACATATAGAGAAGTAAAATGCAAGAAGAAATGAGAAGCAAAATTGAGGTTAACCTACTTTGTGTGACTTTGCGTTGAGGAGGTATGAAGAAAATCAGAAGTGAGCTGAAACGACCTTCCCAAAGTTTGAGTCCAGTATGAGTGTTATCTTCTGTATAAAAAATCGCCTCAAGGAAAAGTTGCACAAAGTCGGTTAACATCAGTTCGTGGTAGTCTGTTGGGCTTTCTAGAAACTAGGCTTTTGCCATTTACTTTTGGATCACTTAATATATCGGGACATAAAATATACTCAGCAGAATATATAGATCTGATCGAGATCTTTCATTTGAGACCAGAATGAAGGTTCTACTATAGGGATAACAGGTCCAAAAACGCTGTGCAATAGATGCCATTTGGGCTGGGAAAAGCCCTTTTTCGCCGGGAAAGTATTTTGCGCATAACGTTCTTCCCGATACAGCTAGTACCCTGCGGTTTTCGCCATTAGAATCAGCATCGAAAATTACATCTATTGGTGTGTGTCTCATCTTTGGGGCCGGCATCTTTGCATAACGTGGTAGGTTCTTAATAGAATCACGGTAACAAATAGTATTTTTTCTCTAGTCGATTTAAATAGCGGTCTAATTTTCTTCGGCGCTAATTCAGATGGCTTCTTCTTCATCACCAGTGCGATTAGAAACACTTCCAAACGAAGTTCAAATAATGATCTTGAAATACATTCCTCTTGGCGATCGATCGTTATCAGTCATTCTCTGAATTAAATCAATGTTACAATGCTCTATTTAAGAGTAGCATCCCATCAGAAGTTGATAAAAAGGATTTGAAGAGGTCTTATCTAGTATAAAAGAACATTATCCACGTGAAGCCGATTCTATCGTATGGCAGGAATCAATAACTTATTATTTGGTTCCTACATCTTTCTATCCAGAAAGACTAACATGAAAGTGTCTTAAAGAAGCTCAATTCAAAGAATATCTAAGACATTCAAGCGGTAAGAATATATCTGAAATTGTTTCAAAATATCCAATTCAATTGAATTCTTTCGTCGTTCGGGGTATTGGAATCCCTTTTCGTGTTGGTAATAATACAACGAACTTCGCTGTGCTTGCCGAATGGTTGAAAGAAAACTATTCCGTAAAGTCTGAAATATTAAATCATTTGAATGGAAGGAATGTCGGTGGGTGGCAGCGTTGATATGATCAAGTGTATCGACCTTTCGAACGCATCAAAAATCTTGAAGTAGAACGTCAAAGAAAAGTAATTTACGTTGAAGCACAAAAAATTTGGGATAGACTGAAGGAATTAAAAGATTTTAATCTTATGCTGCTCAAATACTATTATTAATTAAATAGAAATGCAAAATACAGAATTCTTTAATGAATAATGAAGAACAGATTTTCTGAGCAAGCTGTTTTTTCTGTGTGATATTTTTCTAATTTAAATAAAAAACGCGAAAATGAGCTGTTGCTGTTGTAGTTGAGTAGAAAAGGAAGCGGTACCAAAATGAAAAGAAGAAAAAGGAAACAAACAGAACTATAATCTGAAAGCCTATTTTATGGTTAATCTCGCATTTTATTCAAAACTTTTTTGCACCATTTGTTGTGGCAGGGGAGGAGCTGACTCTTTGTTTGTGGTGGACTTTCATTAAATGTCACCGGCGCTATGGAGTTTTTCTTCGCCTAGGATGTATTTTTGCTGATTTCGCCATACCTGAATTTCGATGAGTAAGGGAAGCCATCAAAAGTAACTGAACGCGTGGAACGTGGACGTGGACTACATTCCACGCACAGAGAAATTTATTCTTTTCTGTCGAAGTGCAGACATTTGTTTTTGCTTTTTCTCACTTACATGACAGAAAGAGAAAAAGCTGATACAGAATGAAATAAATTTTCGTTTTCTATTATCAGTTGCACAATTTACTCATATAACAAAAGAATGAAATAAAGAAGAACGAATTTTATCTGTTACTCTAAATGTTCAGCTACTCTTCTACCCAAGGAAAATATTACTCATTATGACTTTAATGGGAAATTCATCAACCTAACCAGTTAAATAGGAATTAAATAGAGAGTATCTACTTCTACTTTTTATCCTAACCGGAAGAAGAAATATTCGACATCGTGCCGAGCTATTTTTTAAAAATAGGTACCGTCGGGCTTTTGAGCTACAGAGTCACTAATGTCACTCCTTGGTTTCATCAAAATATAGAAATTATTGCTCATTGAGTAGTTAGATCAGTTTTAAGTGGAATTTTGCTGCTATACAGGTTTCGGGTCATGGTGGTCGAAGGAGATGTGTGACCAAGTTTGTTTTCGCTCTAATCGCGATTAACGCTGTCATGTGAACATAGTGTATGACGTGACAAAACACCAGAGAAGAGTAAAAACATATCAAAATTTGATGGTTTTTTTCTAGAGAAGCGGTCTTTGAGATTTTTACATATTCGGAATCAGCGCGATGAGTCATGTTGTACGGCGCAAAAATCTCGTCAGTGTCCCGGCACTTGTTGGACTCAGATTCTCCACTGTAGTTTTTTATTCTACTCACTATGAAATCAGTGTTGATTCTGACAACTTCCCAGATTAAAAAGTCAACAAATTTGACGGTACTCTTCTCCAGTTTTTCTTGCAGTTCTACATGTATCTTTCCCAGTGAAATCGTTAAAATTACATTGAAACGGATCCATTTTACTAACTTTTATCTTTGATACTGACAGCTCTATTTCTTAAAAACTAAAAATGTTTTTCTGAAAAATATATCAATGTTCCGAATTATAAGTTTCATTTATTCAAACTGGACGTAAAAGTGATCATTTATAACAGACTGATCTATTTCACAAAAATTTTGTCTGAATTTTATATTATAACATAATCCAGTTATACTTGTCGTATAGCTGGTTCATTTTTTCTAAATTTTCAAATTACACTTAGCGTGCATATTTCGTATATAATATTTTTTAATTTGTATATTTTGCATCATCTGTATACATTTTTATCTATTTGGCTATAATAATTTTCACAGGAAAATAGCCATTTTTTTATTGCCTTCGATCACACAATTCTTACTTCTGATTCTTTTTTCGTAGTTGTCAATCGATTTAATCGGCAAGCCATGTATTTTTTCCCAAAGTAGTAAATAGCCACAATGATCACCACACTCATCAATATAAATGACACCCCGTTGCGCCAATCGTCAGTTCTAAATTTCACTTGGCGAACATGGTGATTTTCAAATACATTATTTAAATGATTTGTAAAATCTGCTTTGTTTACACAATCCCACCACGATGAAACAACACCGGCTTGAATAATAATGGAAATGAACCATACAATGAATACCATGGTGATACTTATGGACAAGAGAAATAGTCTAAACAGAAGTTTCCAGTTTGATACATGCATACTTAACACTCATTTTATACTAAAAAACAATATCAAACAATTTGTGAGTAGGATGAAGGAGTGAAAAACAAAATAGAGGAGAAGGGTGGAATGCAACGAGAAAGAAAAGAAATGGTCGCTCGATGGAATGTATAGTATGAAACAAGAATAACTATAACGAAGTGACACTCTGACTCTGAAAATCTCTACGATTTTTTAATATAATCACATACACCATCAAGAATAATGCTTTGTGTATCAACATCAGTCAGTGAATCATTCAACAGCAGCATGTCCAATGTTCAAGCAACACTTAACTTTGTCTATAGTTGTTTCCTAATTCCAGCATAAAATACACACTCAAAAAAATAATGGCTAATTGTCTCATCTCCAACACCACAACTACACTTCGGCGACGAAACACAATTCCGTCTAAATAAGTTAGCATTCAATTGAGGATTATTTAGTTTCAGTCTCATAAATGAAATTTCAATCTGTCGGTTAGGAAATAACAATTCCTTCGATAAGCTCTTCAATAATCGTTGACCAAGAATAGTGCTTCTCAAATTTTCTCTGAGTTTCGCTGGTTTCAACAATTGCTGAGCTAATGATAAGTCATTCCATTCAGCCGATGTTATGTCAAAAAAGCCGATGTTTTTCTTGTACATACCAGCCGCTTCAATATGACAAGACAGGTTACTACGAAGATTATGAAAAGGATTCGGTTGATGACGACGAAGATATTCAGTTAAATAAGCCGGGGTATCTCGACGTAAAATTTTTGAAAATAGTACTAAGCGTGAAATACGAAAGTGTTCAACTATGTGAACCCATCCTAAAACACACAAACATTTTTCATATGATGAACCTTTCATTACTCCAAGTATAATTCTAGCTGCATTATATTGTATATGAGAAGTAGATTTGTTGTTGTTATTTTGGTTAGATGTTTTCTCAAAGTGTTGTTTTCTTTCATTCATGTTATTATTAACGGTCTTTCTAAATTCAACAAAAACAATACAATTAGACAAATTAATGATTTGTAGATTAAATCTCTTGATTAATAGACAGGCCAAGTTTTGACATGAGACATTTAATTGTTCGAAGAAAATAACTTATCGACCATAGCTCTCATAACGGCAGCGGCCACTGGCGTAGCCAATGGTAAAAGAGATGCACCAGTTTTCACTAGCGGATTTTCACCATTTTTAACTTGCTTGTATATTGCATTTTCCTGTTCATTCAACGTCGATTCAACAACTGGTATGCCAATATCATCCAATATTTCTAGTGCACCCAAGCCTAGTTTTGACCAAAATCCAACATTTTCCTTGTACAATTCGATCAGTTTACTCTCTGATTCATTATCCAATTTTGATATCAGTATTTTACGCAGTGAATTTAAGCCCATTTTCGGGACACGTATATTCATGACCTTGTCCGGTTTTGAATTCACTGGAATAATATAAGACTTTTTCGGTTCGCATTCATAGGCCCGAAAATGTTTTTTCGATGAACGTGTTCCACCTCCTTCTTTGACTGGATAAATGCCCCGTTTTCTGCCACCAAGTAAGCCAACGGCTTCATTGATAATAGCCT